GATGCAAATGCCTCCACAATATTCTTTTCAGTATCTTCGAAACAGTTTGGAAGACTAGTGTCATCCCGCGATCTTGGCAGTGCGCCTCGGTTACACTTATTGCTAAAAGTGACAGTGTATCAGATCCAGCAAAGTTCCGACCAATCGCTTTCTCGAACTGCGATGGTAAGATCTTCTTTGCCATGCTGTCCAAGATACTAACTCGCCAAATGTTGGTGAATGAGTATTTTGATGGCATGACACAGAAAGTTTTCCTGCCAGAAATGTCGGGCTGTGTGGAACACAAGGGCGTCGGAACCGCACCGGCCGGGGCGGCCATGGCCGCCCCACTTTTTCGGCCGTTTTTTTTTTTTTTTTTTTTTTTTAGCACACTGCAACAAAGCGCGATGATCTCAGCGCAAACGTGGCAAATCCTTGTCCCCGATCGTGGTTTGTTGCAGAATCAAAAGTCCATGTACACTGAAATGGCACCAAATGCCTGGGAATGCTTGCAATTGGCTTCAATTTTTGAATTTTTTTCCCGGGGGAGGCTGATGTTTGTCCCCGATCGTAGCATCTTCTTGGTTTTTGCAGAATCAAAAAGTCTTTCATTGTAGTTACCGTACACTGAAATGGCACCAAATGCCTGGAAATGCTTGCAATTGGCTTTAATTTTTGAAATTTTTTCCCGGGAGAGGACCCCCCGACCCCCCTTCCATGGCCGCCCCACTTCCAAAGTCGTTCCGACGCGCCTGGAACATGCTACTCTGTGTAGCGAAGCCATGAAAGACTTGAAGAGGAACAAGCGCTTCATAGCGATTGTGTGAATAGACCTAAAGAACGCATTCAGATCAGTAAAGCACAATTTAATTCAAGCGGCATTGCATCGGTACCTTATCCCACTGAAAATCAGAAAACTTGTACTTTCTTACTACGAGCATCTCACTGCTTTCGTACAAAAGCCCCAGACCCGGACGTTCCGGTACAGTATCGGTGTGTTACAGGGATGCCCTCTGTCCCCGATACTGTTCAATATCACCTTCCAAGTCCTCCTCGATGCCCTCCAGGCAAAACCCCTATAGGCACGTTCATACAATTTCAAGCAGACGGATATCACTGCTTCTAACACTGGTTTCGCAGATGATTTAGCCGTTTTTAGTAACAGAACCCATGGCGCACAAAAGAAACTAGATGTTGTTGACAAGTTTTTGTCCTGGTCGCAAATGGAAGCTGCCCCACATAAATGCAGGACCTACGCGGCAAAACTAATCAACAATAAGTACACCTGTTTCGACCCCGGCCTTACATTACCCGGCAAGGATGTACCGCAGCTTAATGGTCAGCAATTCAAATTTCTGGGGAGAAATTTGACGGACAACGTGAAAGATCTCGAAATTTGACGGACAACGCACGGACATCGCAAAGTTCTCGTTGACCTTACTAGATGCCTCTTAAAACTGGCGCATGAAACTCACCTTGTCGGTCACCAGAAACTCTGGCTCTATGAACATCTGATAATCCCGAAAATATCATGCCACCTAGAGATACTTGACCTTTGTTACAGTTTTGCCAAAACGCTTCATCACATCAGCCTCTCCTTTATTAAAAAGTGGGCAGGCCTACCCAAGGCTGCAAACACCGCCATCCTCTTCACCGGAAATCGAGAAAGGCCAGGCCTCCGGCTCACGTGTATCACACCACTATGGAAACAGCAGCAAACTATAAAATGGCAAATTATCAAGCACAGCAAAGACCACAACATCGCTCAACTGTATTGCCATCACAGAAAACAAGAACAAACGTTCACCCATAGGTTCTCGTCGGTTGTGGAATTGGAATGTGCCGAAACGGCCGTATCGGACACGCCTGCTTCATGACCGCCCAGAGCCGGACTGGGTTTCGTGACACCAACAGCACCCGTGGTAAAAGCAAGAAAACAAATCCTCAATACAATCAGAGAAGGTGACTGCCAGCAGCAGCTCTGGCACCTAAAGGGACTACAAATGCAAGAGGCCTGGACCAAATGGGAAGACACAATGTTCGTGGACATGACATGGCGGACACTCTTATACGAGGGCTATGGAAAGACGATGTCGTTCCAAATGAACGCGATACTTAATACTCTTCCTTCGCCCGACAATCTGAGATGATGGGGCAACTCTGTTGTGGACCAGTATTGCCCTCTTTGTCAGCGGACATCAGCACTGAGGCACATTCTCACCGCCTGCCATTCCTCACTCCATCAAGGAAGGTACACCTGGCGCCATGACAACGTCCACAAGCAAATCAGTAAATCCATGACAGAAGTAGTATATGCAAAGCAAAAGTCGTCAAATACCGAGCAAATTACCACTAGAGTCCATTCAGAAAAAGATGGATTTCTAGCTTTTGGCCATAAATGGGTCAAACGTTGAGTTTTTTTGAATTTTTTTTTGAAATCCCCTACGGAATCCCCTTCCAATTAAGTTTCTGAAGTCTATTTCTTCAAAAAGCAAGCCATAGTGAGAATAGGATTTCGGCC